ATTAGAGAGCTTTCGTGCAGAGGACCATGGGAGTCCTTTGGCAATCACAACTTTCATCTAGTGGTCTGAAATTAGAGCTTCTCGGGATAATTTCGGAACAGCTTGACCCGTTGAGACACTCAGGGACAACCCTCCTGGGAAATAGTGTGTTTCCTTCCAGGGAGTAAGATGCTAGCACAGGGAACCAAAGCATCTGGTGTCAACATCGCCAGAGCGCCCTCTGCTGCTCCCAAAAAATGTCACACTGGTTCCAGAAGCCAGATGGTTAAGAGTTTCAGTAAGCCCAGGAAGCATTAAGCTCCTAGGATCATTAATCTGTAGAATTTAAAAGCTCCCATCATTATCTCCGTCTAAAAACGATACCCTATTTTATCGAGACCGCGCCCGGGATACTTACTTTCTGTTCTATAGGAAGCGAGAGGTCATTGTTTGAAGCATTGATTGTCGATTCTATTGGTTGTATTTCTGTGTCCTTCTTTTTTTTCAGTTTTATTTTTTAAAAAAACATGAAATTGTAAATCTGAGGGCAAAACCTTTCTACTAGGAAGCTGAATAAGAAATAATTTTCTTCACTTTTGCATGTAACTTAAGTTTTACGAAAGGAAATATTTGAATTAGAATAAAGATACCAAGTTCAAGGTGTTTACTTGTTTTGAAGGATGTTAAACCAAAAGTAAGGCCTTACATAAAGAATGATTTGCTGATTTTGTCTTACTATTAACTCCAATTTTTAAAGATAGACTTTGAATAAGAAAATAAAGGACGAAGCTGATTTTTTGAGTCACATTAATTTACCCAAAATTTCACCGCTGAAATCTTCCTAGTAAGTACTTAAATGTCAAAGATGCCAAGAAGTATAAGTAGAACCGTCAGGGATGGAGAAATGGAAGCAATCTGTGCAGAATTCTAAATGTTATCTATGGTATTTTTGTGTGAAAAAAATCAATTAACAAAATGAAAAGATGAATGTTGAAAAGTTAAAACATTTTTGATTTTATGTCTTATTGGACTTATATTGAATAAAACAATGTATAACCCTATTACTTAAACATCATAAATTTAGAATTTCCAGCCTATTGTGAAACAGACACATCTTTGCTATGAAAACTGTGACATCTGCACTGGTATAATAAAATGCTTCTAATGATGTAGTTGTTAATTAAAATTTCTAAAATAAAGATCAGTTTATTTTGTGATGTCAGAATGAAAGAAATGTTCAATTTTTACTAGATTTTAACATAAAGCTCATAAAAATGTTAAGCTAGAATTAAAAAAACATATATGATTTTACACTATTTTTGTGGGGGGCAACTCTCGATTAAATGTTAAATCAACTTAAATGTTTAACCAAGCATGTCAAGTTCCATATAAGATTAGTACATCTGTCTTCTGAAATCTGGTTCTGTGCGGCAAGAGTTACCAATTCATAAGAGAGTAAATGAAGAAAAGAAAACTGTTATAATTTCTATAATTTTCTAAGCAGTCCTTTGGAAATGTGAAATATTTTATTTTACATAATTTAAATTTCTTCTTAAATAAATTCATATTTTACTCAGGAAATAAAAAATTCTGTAGCATAATTTTTAATAGTTATTAGAAATTTGAAAACAAGTTCTAATATATAAAATGTGTAATACAAATAAATACATTTTTTTCCTCCTTTAAAATACACCCACTCACCGGAAGGTGGGCAATGAGCAGAATGTAAAGTGAATAAGTAAAATATAATGATAAGAAGAAAGAAATAAAAAACATTCACTCTCTTAGAAAGTAAGGAAGAAAGGAAAAAGACAAAGAAAGGAAGGAAGGAAGAAACGAAGGAAGGAAGGAAGGAAGGAAGGAAGGAAGGAAGGAAGGAAGGAAGGAAGGAAAGACATTAACGTTGCTTCTCAGATGTGTGATTGATTTTCCTTAAGCCGATAGCAAACAGTATTCACCTCTCAACTGTGTATAAATGGGCTTTTAAACATGTCCTTTATATTTGTGTATATGAATTGTCTCTTTAAAGATGCCTCTTAAGATGCCTACTTCCCTTTAGAGATTTAGAACCACGGAAACATCCACTTCCACAGAAATAATATTCTTTAAAATAGCATATTTATGGGAAGCACAAATATGACACAAAGAACAAACTTCTAATACACTTAATTAAAGATTAATCACAATAGTTATGTGGTTTCATAGTTAAAAGTAACAGGAATTAATACTTGTGGAACACACACATTTCTATTCATTGATTTTAGACAAGAAGGTCACACTTTGCATCTTTTATCCAGTATCCAGATTCTTCTGCTGCTGCAATTTCTATCAGTAACTGTTAAGTAACAATTCTAATGCAGCAATATAACCAAGTAGTAATTAAAAATATAATGTTTTAAGAATAAATAAAATAGGATGTAAAGTTGAAATTTATTCATGCAAAATACCAGGTCCGTGAATGAAAACTGCAGAGAAGATACTCATATGTAAGAATAATGTTAGAAGTTAAAAGGACTCCATATCCCACGTGGATGGTATTATGAGTGCCAAACAATGAGAATCAGTAAGGCTACAATTCCTGTGAGAAGAGCTGACACCTGACTTCAGCTTTGCTCTAATATGCCAGTAAAAGACACCATAAGGGTGCATGAAAACCCCAAGATGACTAGACTGCAGACAAAAGGTATTCATTTATTGAACATGCAGTAATTTTGATCTGCTTTAAAGGAAGTTGGAGAATATATTTGGGATTCCAGTTAAGAAATTATTTATTGATTATTGAACTTCTATTCTATGAATTTGAAAGGGAAATTTATGTCTTTATTTTCTCTTTATTAGTCAACCCAAATTTAGTTCTTAAAAGGTTACTTTAAATGTAACTCTATACACAGTATACATTTTAGAATTGGCTGAATAATAACATGTTGAGTAAAATATTTTCTTCCTGCCAATTTCTTTACACTTGAAATCAGAGATATGTTAAAATTAAACATAGTTAGGTAAATTGTTCTTTACAGCTTTCAGTGTTCCTAGTCACAGTATATTTAGAAAGACAGGAGAAGTCATTTAAATTCAATCCTAGTGTTTGCTTCCTGCAAGCTCAGGATGCTGCTTTGGTGTGAAGAGTGGTAAAGTGGTATGCATAGAGACTCTAGCTCAAGGTCAATTGAAAGGAAATGCATAACACTACCATGAAAGCATGAAGTGAGGAACTTGATCTTGTATAAAAGTTATGTGGTCTTCTTCCACCATGCCTGGACATCCTTGATCTGTCTTGATTCTCACTATGCCCTCAGAAACAATTTACAGCTTCTGTGTTAGTTATCCTGACAGTATCAGGCAGAGACGAGCTGCAAGGCCTCCAAGAATACAGTCTTCAGTATATGACTCTTACAAGTTAATGGATTTAAACAATAATAAGTTCCATTATACAAAAGAGTTATTTATTTATTCACTGATACTTAAGGCTGTTTGCAAATGCTAGGCAGTATTCTACTACTGAGTTATATTGCTCAGCCGCATAAAAATTTACTTTTACCTAGATTTCAATTCAGAAAAAAGCAAGTATTTATAAATGTCTTCTATACCTTGGGAAGTTGTTCATTGTGATGCGTGTGTATAGAACTATCTATGCTTTAGATGCAGTGTGAATCTATTCTTTCAGCAATTATCTTATCAGAAAACCTATATAAAGAAAACAAATGGGACAAGGGGACTAATTAAGAAACATTAAGAATATCAAATAAAATGGCAGGTTATTCATTCTACTCTAGCTATTATTATTACAATAACTTTACACATTAATTAACATAGTCTAAAACAACAACTGCCATTTCTCACATGAATAAATTTTTTCTACACTCGCCTACTTCTTTATCTCATTTCCTTACCATATTTAGAATAGTAAGTGATTACAACAGTAGTCAATACTATTGAACACACCTATCAGTCCTGGGTATATAAAACAATTGTAAACCACAGAACTTGAACTGATTTTTATTTTGATGTCTCAGTCTGGTCATAGTAGATAATTACATAAGATTTCTGACTATAAAACACATATCTGTTAATTCCTTTATTGGGTGTTTGCCTTCTTGTGACAGGTCCCCCTTCAGTTGTGGAACCTTCCATATGAACAGACAGACATGGTTTCTATTGTAGTGGAGCTGACAGACATTCTTAGCATTATATCATCCACTCTCCTGAACAAGATGATGCTTCTTATTGAAAACATTTTCTTTTAAGTGTCCAATATTAACAATAGGAAGGAATATTTTCATGGTAAGGAACAATTACGCTTTGGGAAATGAACAAAACCAGTACGCACACCTTGCCTTTTGATTCCCCTTCCTTCCTTGTGTTTTCCGTAACACTGAATGCCTTTGCTATTCTTTTCAACACTAAAAACCAGCTGAGAACGAGAGAGTCGCAGTGTGCTCTGATGCTGACTGTGAGATCTGACTTCTATCTCTGCTGTGCTTTAACCACTCATGCTTCATTTCAGTACTTCCTCTATGCACGCATTTGCTGCCTTCTTGGTAATGTTCTGAATCAAGTGTCAATTCAAACTTAATTTTTTGGTCTTATTTCAGCTCACTTTATTTTTATTTAATTTTTGGTATGTATGTGTGGTATATGCATGTATGTACAGGTATGCATAATTATGCATACATGTATGGAACCCAGAGGTCCATGTCAGATTTATCGTCCCCCATCTCACATTTTAAGACAAGCTCTCTCAATGAACTGTAACTCTCTAATTGGAGAGAGCATACGGATTTTCCTGTCTCTGCCTCCCAGTGCTGAGATTATAGATGCACACAGCCACATCCAACGTTTTACATGTGTGTTGGAAAGCTAGTCTTAGGTCCTTATATTTGCAAAGTAAGCACTTTACCTGGGCCTCCTATCAGTATCTGTATTTTATTTTAATGAGTCATTTCCTAAGTTGTCAAAATTACATTTATTTTAAAATCTATTTTCACTTTATAAAAATGATGATGATGATGATGATAATGATAACAATGACAATGTTTAAAACACCAAAAAGTAGGTGACAATGCTTTCACCATATGTATGATTTTAGACTCAAGTACATCTCCTGTCCTGGTCAAGGGGAGTACTAACAGTTCTTTACTTTCATAAAAATTACCTTCTATTTTTGATAAGACATTAACCACATCATCACTTAGTTTTATTGTACTTACTAGCAATGTGATTTTCAATTTTAATTTAGTTACTAAATTGTCTATAACTAGATCAAAATTAAATGACTTCATTATTTCAGTGTTCAAAATAAATATCAATGAATCTCTCAGATTATTCCAAAATAATCTTCAATATGTCATTTTCAACCTGTTTAAACTGTATCTTTAGCTGTGAAATTTTTAGAATCTCAAGAAAACATGAACATTTTTTCTACCATTATTCTTAAATGTTTTCCATCATCTTAGCCAAGTTTTTGAAAATGGCCAGAGCTTTCTTTCAGATTTTCCAAGGTAATGGCATGTGCCATGTATATCAATGAGATAAAACATCTTTCCGAAAAGTTCTCATTGTTTAATCCATCAAGTACCATGAGGATAGGAACTTCTTCAGTCCCGGTACTCCTGTGATATATATAGTAAATTTTGTAAATAGTGTGTTGATGCTGGAATCTGTGGTTCTGTATTTTAAACTTAACTCATGCTTATTCATTTGAATAACTTTGAATACTTTTTGCTGGATTTTGGTTTTGTGTGAACTGATTACTGACTCTCCAGAATGTACACTAAAAGTTAGAGCCTGATTAAAATGTGGATCCACTCTTGACAATTCATTTCAGGCATTCTGAGACCTGTTAAATAAGCACCAGAAGTAGTTCTGAAGCTATTTCTCTATAGGTTAAGAAATTTCAGGTCAATTTCATTTTTGGCTTTCTAAACTAAGGGATATTAATAATTACAGGACAATAAATCTTATTACTCAATAAGCACACCCTGGAAGAATGGATATTTTGAACAAGTGTTACTCTTAACATGAAAACTGTATCAATCTGAGTTTTTTAAAAACAAACAACAAATTGGGAGCTAAAAATGCATTAGTAAAAACATCCGCACAAGAGAAAATGGTGATCTAAAGGTACTCTAGGGGAGACCTTGGATTGCAATAGTTTTGACCTATAATAAAAAAGAGGAAAGGAGTTGTCTATGTATAACAAACAGGCATACAGGGTGCCACAGAGAGGAAAGTCATTGCTAATATCTGAGTCAGTTGCTAAGTAATTTACCAATTTTTATTATTATATAAAACTATATTTTACATGAATGAGATCAGCAATCAGTAAAAGAGACAGGAAAGTCAAGAAGTACAGAATGATTTGGATTTCTCTCCAAAGTGAGCCCAATATCCAATTGTTTGAAAGAACAAAGGTTGGTATCTTGCTCATATTACATGCCCAATGTAGGTCAGAATGGCCTCCTTGATAAAAGTATCTACGGAATACTAGCTGAATGAGGCTTCATTGACCATAAATACCATGATTTCAAATTAAGATCTCCTATAATTAAAAAATAAAAAAGCAGAAGCTTCTACCCAGAAGACATAGACATTATTTTCATTCTGATTGGATTGTTTAAAATTAGTTACATGGGAATGGCATAAGTCAGAATCCCGTGATTATCTGGAAGTTGATAGATGCTAATGAAGAGTGATTTTACCAAAAGGAGGCATCTTGCAAGCATTCTCACTATGTTATATAGAGGCTGACTGTTTCACCTTAGAGGGTGCTGGGATTTAAGATTCTTATGTGACTGAAATAGAACCTGATTTCACTTGCTTTTTGCAAATTTTGAAGGCAGTGAATTGTGGCAGACAGGGCTTAAACAAAGGATCATGAAATCCCTTTAGGATAAAAATAGGCCTCCTCTGAATTTCCGTGTGATATAAAAACTCAACTGACCTTTTTGAACCCCTGTTTTCTCACTTGAAAACTAAAAATAATGGAATCAGATAGTTAAGATATATTCTAGAAAGGAACCAATTCTAATACCAGTCACATTAATAATAGAACTACAATAGGGTATATTATGTATAATAAATAAACTACTGAGGGAAGCTGATTTCTATTTCTGATAAAATAATTTGAGACTGCAGTTTTAAGACTAGATTCTTGGACTTATTAGTTCCTCTCAAGATGTTCCTAGGTATTTTAAGAACAATGGTATTCTTGAGATATCTAGGGAAGCATGCCCAGGACAAATATGCTACAGCTTTATTCTTTATAGGTTTGGTACTGAGACACATTCTCCCCAACTCCTCACTCTTTAAAGGATTTTAACAGGACCAAAAACATCACAAAACCATCTAACAAATTCCCTCTTGGATGCTATCTATGCATGTCCACATTCCAGTTCTCTGGAAACACCTCCAAAATGTTACTTGCCTGCCAAAATGTTTATCTTAATCAGTATTTCCTGAAGGAAACCTAGTCTAAGATTTCAGAATAATATTTGTTAAATAAGAGACCACATAGGATCCAAGAGAGAAGAACTTAACAATGTTCAAACTTTATCCAGTGTATGACTTTGCTAAAGAATCATTTTTTACTTCTCAAAAATCATAAAGGGCTAGGCACAGTGATACACATCTACAGTACCAGAACTTGTGACCCAGAGGCAGGAGGATTATTCCAAATTCAGGACATGGCTAATATATTTCAGTGAGTTCCATCTCACCACTTAAAAAACTAAATATTAAGACTGTCTGAAAACAAAAGTGAGAAAGAGATCTCCCCATGGCTATCATTCTTCCATTATCAATCATTGTAAGCCAAAGTAAGATTCTAACTTTATGCAAATATGAAAAATCTAATACAACCAGTGACAGCTAAGTGTAAAGACCCTCAGAAACAGCAAAAGTGTAGTTCTGTTTCCAACTCTGTGATTGTGATGAAAGAGATGGAAAAAGCCCTAAGGGATATCTAGATTCTCAAAGTTCTACAGCGAGTTCAGTATTCTCCATCATTAATTTGATAACTTCTGACATGCAAACACAAAGAAAAGAATAAACTGTAGAGATCTCTATAGTTAGTGAATAAAGAAATGCTTGCAAGACATATAGTACATGTACTTATTAGACAGAAAAGCAAATAATATACACAAAGCAGACAAAATGCTGCATAGTTTTGTCTGAAGAAGCCAGGCCTCATAAATGATTGCAGGCTGCTGAGAGGCCGATACTGCAGCTGAGAGTGACAATGAGAACATACAAGCTACAGTAAGAAATCACAAAAATTGAAGTACATTTAGATGGCATACAAAAAGACTTGTCACCCCCAAAAAGGCTGAGAAGAAGAAGGAATCCACACAAACTCGAAGTACATTAGCCATCATTTAAATATACAAATACTAAATTTAGTAAGTAATTTTGCTCTAGCTTGTGAAGCATTCTTAGTAATGCATCTATTTAATTCAGTAAGAATATGTTCTTAATAAGTCAGATGATAATCAGTAGATTTAGGACAAATTTGATCTGGTTGGAATAGCATATATTCTTTGGCATTTGATATGTACTTAATTATGAAACAGTATAAGTACTATGTAATACAATGCATGTGAATACATCGCAAACTTTTACAATGTCCTAGAGTCAAGAGAAAGTTGTCTTAGCCTCTGTTCTAAGAGTTTAATACACAGATACTTCTGATGAAACAGGGTATTTTGTTAAAAAAATTTTTTTAGCAATTGCTCAGAATGAATCAGTACCGCGTGTAAGAGCTGAACTGAAGGAGGTGAGAGCTCTTGAGAATGAATCACATTAAAGCTACTCAAGGAGTACTGTTCATTAGTATACTATCACATGCAACGGCAGTACAAACAGTAACCCCCACCCAAAATACCGTAGTATACTGATTATCCTTCTAACCTATATAATGTGGTTCTTATCATTTACATGTTTAACTCAGTGATGCATGGAACCAACTCCTATGCAACTGATGTCTAGTTTTACATGACTCTGCCTGATGAGAAATATGCTTCTTAAACCAATTCGTTCCTTTAGCAATTGACAAATCTCTACAATGCAATAACATCCACTCACAGGTTTCAAACCTTTAGTTTTTATGTTTTTGCATTTATATTGTTTGTATTTGTAATTATATTATTGTATTTGTATAGCCTTCAGCAGCTTGTGCATCCAATAGAGGCTACTGATGGTATAATGCTAAAATTTTCAGAGTTTAGTATTGATGTGCATATAGTTCATATGAATCTCTTATAATCATAACAACATTAAAATCAAGTTTCCTTGCCCTGAATAGTTCCGAGAGAATTTTCACACAAGGAGCTTCAAAGCCTCACAGCTGTACTGTGATATATCTACCATTCTCTTCATGTACAGAAGGGAAATGGTGGCCCACTCAAGTGGTAGGAGTTCCAAGGACAGGTGGAAACTGAGTCTAGCTGTAATTCTCATCTTGTGTTGCCTTTCCTCTCTTGCACATGCTAAAGTGGAGCTTATTGCTAGTATATAAGCAACATATAAACCTCTACTTACTAAGAGGTAAACCAAGTTGCCTGTTTATAACTAACTGTCCCTACACAGTAGCATTTGTATTTCTAAAGCAAAGGTCTACTGTAGTTCTGAACAGGTGTTGATTGCTCTGTTTGATATGGAAACTTCTATCCATTAGGATTTCACAAACTATAACTGATTCTCCTTGGAGTATAAGTATGTTGTAGAAGCCTCTCTGACTATGCCTCTCAAAGGAATATTAATAACTAGCATAAGAATGCCTTTCAGCCATAGGGACAGAGTTCCTTTGCTCATTTAAGGATCAGTTTGAAGATTCAAGAAATTGCAATAAACTCAAACAAAAAGGAGACCCCAAAATATCCAGGAAGTTAATACTGCAGCTCTTCGTTGCATTTCATTGTAGAGTCATCAGACAGGAGCAAAAGGAAACCTAAGGCTGTATACTCTGATAGTTCCATTCTGGGTTGTGTGAATGACAGTTGAGTGATCAGCCTTCCTCTGTGGAGCGTACAGTTTGCCCCATTATTTTCAGCCTTTCTTTAGAGCAATGCTTCTCAACCTTTGGGTCCCACCCCCCACCAGGGATCTCTTATATTAGATACCCTACATATATGATATTTTAAAAAGTCAGAGCATT